GCGAAATAAGTCTGCGGGATATTGGGAGGAGAGTTGGTGCTCGTAAAAAATGAGTAGGTGTAAAGTGTGCAAAGCGCGGAGAGGGGAAGGGAGAAAAATTGTTGGAATTTCTCCTCGACGATAAAGTTTTCGCTAAACGAATTGAATAATCTATGGCAAGTTGAAAATTTCAACAGAATGAAATGCTTCAAGAAGTTTTATACAGCCTCTATCCTTGACGAGACAAGAGCTGCGTTTTTCTTTTTTACTCTCCGCGCTGTAAATTATTCACTCGAGCAATGATATACCCACGAGAACGAATGTTTCATGTCACTTTTAATGGCCGCGCGGCTATGTATTCATATTCGCTCATGTTTATCTTCGGGTAGAACATTACTTTGTTAGGAGTATGAATTTTCTGAGTCGGTGCTTTTACACGTAAAAAAGTGAAATACGAGCGTTCAACAAATCTTAATTTTCTCTTCTTTTTTTACACACCGCGTTCAACAATTTCTTTAATATCTTTTCAAAATAAATATGTTGTCTCACACGGGACAATGCTTTATGAGTGTAAGACGAGCTATTTCGCCAGAATTCAGACATTTGCATTGAACATTTCCATTTTCATTTTTGATAAAGGGAAATACAGACGAAACAAGTAAAGTTATACAGAACTTAGCGATTGTGTAATATCGTAACAAAATTTGTCGGCATTCAAATTCATCTCACTCTTCTTCGCCTCGCGTTAAATCAAGAACAAAGACACGAAAATAACTTGACTCGGCAGCGTAGTAGAATGGGTAGAGGGGCGGTATCGAGGGGGGGGGGGGGCAGCGTTTGCATGAGAATAGGTGCCTCATCCGCGGACGGCAGCTGCAGTATACGACAAAATTGTTTCGCGTTCTCGCGCGCCACCGACCGGGCGTTATATACAACAACGCGCAGTAAATAAAAATGGCGTCGTCGCCTACATTTCTTTTACGACTTTGTTCCAGATTTGCAGCTTTCTTAATCTCGGCGACCATCCGATGATTTATTTAACGCTCATACTAATTTCCACGGCTGTAAGCGCTGTAAATCACGACAATTATCGCGAGCGCCTCTTGATAATATCCTCGCAAAAGAAAATTCCGCACTCGAGATTGGTTTTTACTTCCATGCCGCTCGCGCTATTTCGTGGAATGTTGCATAAATTTTTTGTTGGATGATATTAAAGCTAAAAATTTCTTGGTTAGTGCCGCGTCGCAGGCTGACCGGCTGTTAAGCAAAAGTTGTTAATTGTCTCAGTCTACGACTTAAATAACACAGCCTTTTCTTAACTTGATTTAGTACACTAAATGATAATTAAAAGTGAGCACATTGAAAATTATTCAAGAAGTGAAACGTTTCACTTTAAACGAGCTTAGAACGCCGAAGCGCTCAATTAGGTTAGAGCGGTGCGGAATCGATCGATCAGAAGCATCGCGACACGTGAAGATTGCGCGCAGCGCAAGTCGATCTCCTTATGCATCATCGGCGAAATCCAAAAAAAAGCATTAAAAAGGAAGTCATATATATTACAGGAGGAAGTATTATACGTACTTAATCTGTCTATGATACAGTAGAAAGCGTTTCCGTGTTGAAGACGGGAAATAAAAAAATCTCATAGTTCTCTTTCGTTTAGCAAGCTACGAGTTCCGAGTAATTGACACCGACGGGTAGAAGATTCCTATTCTCGCGTACTGTGGCTTTTGTTTCTTTTTCTCTTGGAGTGGATGACTTCACGCTTTCTCATAATGGCGCTGCCGTCAATGAAGCACTTGGATTTTCTTTGGCGCGACAAAAATTAAAAAAAGGAACAAAGAAAAAAGCGCGCGTACAAAACTACAAGTTATTTTGTCTTTATATTTGTAGATTTATTTCTTTGAAGACTGTTGGATAGTAATATATTCGTGATTTTCTAGGTAAGTACCTGCGTGCGCTATGGTTCGATGCTAATGGTTCATTTTTCATGCTTGCCGTAGCGATGGTAATTAGAGTACGAGACGCTGCACGATTAATACACCGGGAGCCACAATTAAGTTATTATGCGGCTAGCAAGCGCGAAAGGTCTTACGGGCTCTGTGAGAATAATTACGAACAAATACGGGGCTAGCGATCAGTGATACACTAGTGAACAGCTGTTATATTAGCCGTTTATAAGCTTCAATAGATCAATGAATATTGTTGCTTGATTTTTCTGCATATTTTCGACTTCAAAATTAATATTACCTTTCAGTACATTACCAGAGCAAATAAAAATAAGTTTCCAAATATAAATTGTCCATTTATCAAGGAGACCAAAGCATGTTCCCCTTGATAAAAAAAATTGTTCTTACAAGCAGATTAACTGGTGCGTCATTTGTAGGCACCTCCTACTATCAGCGTTCGACGGGTACAGTGCGGAAGGTCCGGAAGAGGCTTGAGAGACTGTTAACTTTCTTACCCTCTCTTCCGGTTTTAGAGGGAGACAGAGTTGGAGGCGTCGAGGCGGAGCCTAATAAGCGGATGGTGAACGCGACAACGGACACGAAGCGCCTCTCTCTGCTAGCCTAGATTACGAGGGGGCAGGGGGAGGTGAACTTTCAGCTACACGAAACTTGGCGCTTGGCCCTTGATCTCTTGATTAACTTCTTGGAGTGCATCCTCTCCAACTATTAACTTTGTTTTGAATAACAAATTTTCGCTGGCTTTGTCATTGCCTTTTGTTTTTGAATTATTGAAACAGATGGTTACCGGATATTATGTTTTGATTCGTTCAAACTCACAAAAATATGACTACGTTTAAAGATTATTAAATATTAAATGTTATTTCACATTCTACTACTCAGAATATTTTATATTAAACGCTTTTATTACGTCAATGCTCGGATTTTACGTATAGACGGAATTCTATTACACAATGGTTCATTTTTAATTATTAAATACAAAATAATTTTCTATTTATAACGCTAGTTTCTATTATACTCTGATGCTGCTTGAATTTCACGTAAAATTTGAAATATTCACTATTATGAATTTTCTTTTTTACTCTCGTAAATTTCACATATTTCAGCTGGATTTCATTGTACACTGGAACAATTATTTTAAAAACATTTTTGCTTTCATAATAATAATGCGTTTGTCTGTGATTTAATTAAAACAGCCGGCATTAATAAAACAAATCAGACTTTCAGACTGCGCTAAGAAACATTCCACGTTATTAAAAAAAATTTCTTCAAAAGTATAAAGTTTATCTGAGTTGTGGACGAGAATTGTATATCCTTTACGTACGCGCGCAAACAGGGGAAAAAGGAAAAAAAATCGATGTGTGGTGTCGCGCGCGTGAGTGCAGTTCCCAAAGGCATACAGGAAAAATCAGGGAGTTCTATCTGCGAACGAGAGCGAGAAGCTTTCCCGCGGCGCACGACCCTAAATCTTGGCACTTGGCGATACGCGCGCCATGGGTTCCGGCCTCTCTCTGTCTCTCTCTCTCTCTCTCTCTCTCTCTCTCTCTCTCTTTCTCTCTCTGCACTGTAGCTTTTGCACAGCAGGGAACATATCGCAGCTGCTGCGTGACGCTGTTATTGCGCGAGATCGCGTCCCTGGAATAGCTGCATGACGGCGAAAGCCCGATTAGATTTGATACTGCTGATTTACGCTTCCACCGCCATTATTCCGTCCGGTTTTGTTATAGGCACACCAAAAATGTTAGCTTGATCCATCAAGATGGTAAAAGAAAGTTATCACGCGTGATGCTGCGATAGTAATATTGGATGTTTTCCAATCCATTTTTCTCGCAGGCAACAAGTGCGTACGCGCGCATCTGAAGTATTTTGCTGTGGCAGATGGCATTGCATCACATTTGAGTGTATCAACGCGCGAGGTAAAGCCAAAAGAAGAAAAAGCACAATGATCATTATGCTTGATTTCACGAGCGTGCCGTTCGAGCTCCATGACTGGCACGTTTTCCCACTTGAGTGTTATTGCGTGAGAGACTGTTTGATACTTCTTCTTCTTTTCCGTCACATTTCTCTCTCTCTCTCTCTCTCTCTCTCTCTCTCTCTCTCTCTCTCTCTCTCTCTCTCTTGCTGAGAGAAAGCGCGTGTCTGTATGCATGTGCACGCCACTGATATAGGAAGCCAACGTGTACATACCTATGGAGCATGGAAGTCGTGTATACTTGTGATAGATTTTCTCGTTTTTCGTGATTTGCCGCTAGGCTACTGTAATAGTTGGGCTGGAGAGAGGAGAACGCAAAAACCGGAAAGAGGGTGCTTCGGATAACCATTAGTAAGCTCGCGCGTGAGCAGGAAGAGTTGCGCGGATTGCCAAATCGCCAAGTGCGAAGGATTTTGAGAGGCGCGCGCAACGAGATAAAAACACAGGGATATGTGTAATGCCGCCTTCATGGGCTTAATGCACTGGTATTACGTGCTTCCAGCGCTGCTACACGCGTTGTTTATCTAATGCGCTCGAGCCAACCGACCGAGCGCGAGCGTCTATCAATTTTAAGCTGACGCTCGTTAAGGTGTACGTGCGATTCAAAAAGTAATTGGTCTTCAATTTACAGCCGCCGTGCATTTTGCATTTCCCGCGGGATATTCAAGGGGGGCCGAAATTTTCCTGAAATCGATGATTAGATCGACGAGCATACTTAAATTTTGTTAAAAAATATATATTTATTCGTACAAAATCACATCGCATGCAACCAAAAAATACATAAAAATGATAGTACACATCACATAATAATTTGTTGATACGATATATATCTAGCGCATTAATCTAAATTACAAGAGGAGCTAGAAAGCTCATGCGAAATCGGATGATGATCTTTCGCATTTTAATTGCAACAGAATCGATATCTTAGTTGGAGTATACGCTTTTCGTTATTCTTTATACCGGAGTCATTAAATCAGTCAATAATTAACTGCTGTAAAAAAATTCACGACAGTTTCATTACACGCATTTTATGTATGTTGAAAGTTTTCCCTTTCGATCCTATTTGGTTACATGATCTCGGCTATTGCGTTCGAACATCTTCAAATAAAAAAAAAAATCGATAAATTTTGTAAACGAAATAACGATCGAGATACTGCTGCAAGAAAGTCATGGGTAATGTGAACCATAGTACAGTCTATCGTTAAGTGTTGAAAGTAACATCGTAAAGCAGAGGTAAAAGAGTAAAAATATAATACAGAGTATACACAAACGAGGCGGCATTCGGCCGTCCCACAGATTACGCTTCTCGCTTCTTGCAATGAACCGTCTTTATGTCTGGGTCAGCAAAATTTACAGCGCTTGTACATACTTGGAACTTAGAAAACAAGGCATCTCTTACGCGCGTGCACGCTTACAAAGAGATAGAGAAAGAGAGAGAGAGAGAGAGAGAGAGCGGAAGACACACGGTACTATCGGTGGAAGGGAACACCGTATTGCGACGAAGGTGATGAAGGCGCTGGTGGTGGTGGTGGTGCGAAGGAGCTTCCACCCGAGTAGCCACCGTCGACGGAGTTAGAGCCGTACTGGTAATTATTGTAACCGCCGCCACCTCCGTTGTAGCCGCTATTACCGCCTCCACCTTGGTAATTGTTGTAGCCGCCGTGATTGCCGCCTGCAACAGACGCAGTGTCGAGTGCCAATGTTATGGACTATTGCTCGACTCTCGAATCTAATGCATCGATGCGTCCGCCAGCTTTACAGTGCTTCTACTTGGATTTCTATTTTTGTCATTAAAACTTTTGATTTTTACTTACAAAAAAAAAACATTTCAAGTGAATTGTACTTATGAGTGATTTCGCTGTTAAATTTTAAAACGGCCATCGATTGATGTACTTAAATTTTAATAATTATAATCGTACTCTCGATGAACGGATAAAAAATAATTGAATATTTGCCCAATAAAGTTGGTAAAGTAAAATTTCACAACGTTATTCAATAAAAGCTTCATAACGATTTTACCGCGTCAATTAAGCTGTGATCTCAGATGTATGGATACATAATTTGATCGGTATAAAACACTAACGAAAGAATCTTTACGTGTTCTCAGAGATGATATAAATTAACAGCGAATTAAAAGCTTTTCCCCAGTTAATAAAGTAATCTTGGTGTGTAATGAAGGTAGCAACTAGCAGAAGGCACAATTACCTGCGTTGTATCCAGCATCGATGTTATTATTGGTAGGATAATCGTAGCCCCCTTGATTGTTGGCATTGGCATTATATCCTTGATTGTACTGGTCGGGATATTGAGCGACGCCCTCGTAGCGGACGTCCGCGTGGAAGCCGGTGCGCCAGTCGGCTGTGTAGGTGACGATCTGGGTGCGACCGTCCGGCAACTGCACCCTGTATTCGCCCCGTACTGTCTCGCCGTCGCTTGTTTCGCGTCTGCCAAAGTCGTTGCCCGAGGCTGCATCCTTCACTGCGTATCCGAACTCGTATGATTTCGGCTGTTTACACAAGAAGAAAATTGATTTTCCATTAGATGATGCGTAAATTTCCAAACAGCAGAACGTAATGCACGATCAATCAGAATCACTTGCGTATATTTTATATGAACTATTGCATTTCAATTCTGTTATATAATTTTATGGCTCTATCAGAAAAAGTAGAAAATTTTCAATTGAAAAAGTTAAATTACAAGTTTTTTTTCGAAACGTTTTCTGCTGAGTTTTCGGTTTCAACGAATTTTGCAGTACAGAAATAAATGAACCACGCTCTTGCTCTTTTCACTTTAATATGGCATTAAGTTAAATTTTATCGGAACAATATTTTTCTAATAATGTCAGTCAATGGAAGCTTAATGTTCCAGAAATCAGTGGTAGCCATTATAAATCTCGACAAGAGTCAATTCAATTCGAATCAGAAGAATAGAAAAGCAAATCGCTGATTTATTCAGTATCATAATTCTGTCGATATTTCAGCAACGGCTGAGCAATGCTAGTATAACGAACGATCTCATGAAAAATGGATTCATCAAGTGCACCTAGCGGAACCTATAAAGTCAGCGCGCGTTGGCTTGCAAACAGCAAACGAGGAGTCGTTTCGACACGTCATACTTTCCCCTCCCAAGCTGAATTTGGACAATCTTCAAGTGAACAGAATACAAGGCATAAGAACTAAGCGAAAAAATCATCTAATAACAGAGCGGCATCGGTTTATTATTTATACAATTGCTTGTGGTCGTAAAACATGAGCTATATAAGTTATTTGCATCGTTCATGGTGTGTGGGTGTATTGCACAAGCGCTGAGTATTGAGGAGAGGGATGAACGGTCTACGAAATTTTCGAGTCACGAAGCGGCGATTTGCGCATTCAGGTCGCTTGGCGGCATGCCCCCTTTATATACATGGCTCCAACATAACAATAACGATAATACCACGAGCGCGCGCAAGAGAGAGAGAGAGAGAGACGAAAGATGTTGCACGATTAGCCGATGATCGAATTTGCCTTTGTAATGAGGCTTAGGCGCGCGCGCGCTTGCGTTATTAAGATGAAAAGCTGATCTTTTGTTTGTCTTGTGTCGAAATCTGGGTTGTGGTATAAATTTCTCATGCAAGAAATGGTCGCTTTTGTAAACATACATACGCGCACAAACACACACATCGAGCAATTATACATTCGTTACTCATGTGTCGTGATATTATTCTTTCCCCCCTCTCCCTTTCCCTGCCCTCGCTGCTCCTTTCTTCGCGCTCTCCCTAAATTGATCATCGTGCGTACGGCAAGCGAGACAATTACGCGCACACACTGCTACAGACGCGCTCTGAAAAAGGCACGTGGAAAGGAATCTGAAAGACGAACCATTTGAAAACAATAAAGAGAGGCTTGTGTCACTGCCGCCAACCACAGTGTGAAAAGGCAGCCACAAACGGGTGATTCCCATAATAATGCGCGCATTGCTAACCAAAAGCGAATCTTAATGACGTCTCGCGCTCGCGCCTGAGTTGCTCAAGCTAAGAAGACGCGACGTTGCTTTTTCTTTTCGACAGTTGCGTGGCTATAATACACGAGGACGCCAAAGGAAAAGAAAAACAACATATCCGCAATCACGCGCGCCGAGCATTCAATCTGCGTGTATTGCTAGTCGAGCGCCAATAAAGTTTTACGGCGTTTAGCATCGTAAAGCGATGGGTGAGCAACGAGTTTTGTTACGGCGTGAAAGTTCGCTACCGAGAGAGAGAGAGAGAGAGAGAGAGAGAGAGAGAGAGAGAGACTAGAATTCCTGTTGGCTTTAAATGGCGCAAAACCGACGACTCGTCGATGTGACAGTTTGACGATCTTCTGGCATTGTTTGGCATTGATTCAATGCTCACAGCAGTTTGAGAATGACTGGAATTTTGGCGAATAGTTCGCGTGACGCGAGAAATCTTTGGTGAGTATTGAAAATGTTAAGAAAGGACATTTCACGTTATAAGACGATGGGCTCTAATCTTTCACTTTACTTTAATATATTTTCGTACCTTATAATTGAATTTTAGGGCATTGCAATTCATATGTGATATTTAATTCAGGTTATCATTTTTTTAGCGTTCTGAATGAAAGCACCGAACGAAATATAAGGTCATTATAATTTACGATGAATTAAGTATGACATAGCCAATGAATAATCAATTCAGATGATTTTGATATTCAATATTGATTTTTGATTATACTTTCTATCTGAAATAAATGGTATATCGTGTATTTATTCAATTATGATTTCAAAGAAAATTAATATTCAATATAAATTTATTAAATATTGGAATTCACGGGTAAATACGTATGAGTTGTAAAATACAGTTATTTGATTTCCAAGCTAATTCAAATGAAGTAAGTTCCAGTAGATCAATATATAGTGAAGTTATTTTAGTAATATGAAGGGAGGCAGAGCGATGCGAAAATTGAACGAATTCATAAATAAACAATCAATAAAAGCTTCACACTGTGAGGGTATTTCCACGGTTCTTCTTGTGCGGCGTACTCCAATTATAAAATCGATTGCAGCAATGCCAGACTCCTTGGTTGGCTCGTAACGAGCGTCAGTTAATAGCCAGTCCAAACGGCGCGGCAGCGGAAGGAAGGGTGGCACAGTGCGAGCAAGCGTGCAGCGCGAAACAATCGGCAGCGGGAAGAAACGTCGTTAAAGCGACGCGCCAGTTATACGCAATTTGATTGCTTGGGAAGGAAGAGCTTTTGGCCGCTTGCACGCCGATAAAGGATCTTCGCTAATCTAATCTTGGCAGTCCTAGTCTTCAAACTCAACAATGACTTTCTCATAGAATTGCGATCTTTTCGCGATCAGCAACGAAAAATCAGAAGCACACTTGTACAATTTGCGATGCGGAATTTTAAAAATCAGATTATACAAAATTTATTTCTTAAAGAATTGCTCGAATACTTGGCCGAGAATGTTAGCTATCGATGCATAAAACAAAAATTTCTGCAAGTATCTCACATTCCAGGCACGCGATCACACGTAATTACGAGGGTATTTTAAAACGAAATTTTTTTTGTTCAAGATGCGTTGAATTCTTTGGCTTCTTGTAAGCATGCACATTTCAGAGTGCAGAATATTTACCTCGTAAAACAACGAGCAAGCCAAGAAGAATTTGGTCACGTCTGTCCGGGTCGTAGCAAGTAGTTTGTTTGAATAAATGTCGAGTATATCGCGCGCATGAAATTATTTCTGTGCGTTTTTGTCTCTTTGTTGGCACAACAAACTGAACGCGGAAGAATGTCGCACGTGCGCCGAATTTCGAGATCCCTGGCTGGTGTATATATAGAAGCGCTAATGGAGTCTGCACTCGCTTGCTCGCTCGCGTGTAATTGGTCTTTTACAACGGTTAATGCACGAGTGTGGGAGAGTGGATAGACGCAAGCTCGCTCTCTCTCTCTCTCTCTCTCTCTCTCTCTCTCTCTCTCTCCCTGGATGAATGATAGACTGCGCGCGAGCGCGAGAGGGTTATTAATTAAAACTGGCAGATTAAAACGTGTAGCGTGTTTTGTAATACGTATGAAATCTAGTTTAATGATTCAGCACTGCATTGCAGCCCTCTTACGACATGGAGTATTGGTGGCTATATATCGAAGGTATATGCACCGAGTAGGAGTATGTCATTAACTACCATTAACGCAAGTCTGCGAATATTGCTTTGCTTAGACTCAGCGTGAATTCTCATAGACGCCTAGTTCAAGATCCATACATTCTACACTGCTTGCCAGGCTGTACATGCACGAGCAATTCAAATTTGCGACTTTCCTCACCAACTGATATGCGCACCTGGAAATTGTGTCAGTTGAAAGCTTCTGCGCGACTTCAAGAGAAAGTTGTCACGTGGTATGATATGTAAGTCTCAAAATTCAACCGCGGGATTTCAAACTACGCGCTTCTCCGCTAAGTGAGATTACGTAATCAAGAAACTTCATAAAGCTAGGTTGCAAGCTCACATTCCTGTTTTATTCAGAACGACACATATTAACTTTTTTTTTTTTTTGAAGAACGACAGTACTTCATCAAAAATAGATGGCTCTTTTTATATAGGCACTTGCGTCACATGCGTGTGCAGGCACTGCGATGTTGTTTTCCTTAAGTCCTTTTTGTTTACTACTGCACGTATTATACGAGTCATTGAAAGTTCGCTCGAAAGGAAACTTTTGGTAAATGAAAGATGAAGAGAGCGAGGGAGGGAGAGAGAGAGAGAAGAAAAAAAGTTAAAAATAATTAAAAATTCAAAGCAGGCTTCTTTGAGGATGCATCTTTAAAGTGACTCGAGCGTCTACACAGTTTGTAAAGCTTTTCGACGCTCAAAGGTACCGCGTTGTAACGAACTCTGTAGTTCGTCCACAAACACATTGGCCAGGAGCCTTTTCTAAGCATGCGAGCACTTCGTAAAACTGGCACGACTCACCACGGGAAATACAACAAAGGAAGCAAGTTTCGGCATTCTCGAAGGCGACTAATGCTATTCAAAAGCCTTTTTCCACTCGTTTTCTACCTGCGTCGAAAGCTGTTGACGGGTGCTCACCTGGCTATCGATGTAATCCTGATGCTCGTCATGGTGACCACCGGCGTTACCGCCAGTGCCCCCGTGCCCATAGCCCGAGACGTCCCCGAGAGGAGCGCCGTAGCTGTTGGTCAGCGGCGGAACGTACTGCTGCGAGCCCTGGGGATTGGCAAAATTTCCAGGCACCCCGTACTGACCACTCAAGAGTGGCGGCTCGGCGAGTCCTTGGCAGACACAGAGCGCCAGAAGCAGCAGCATCATCTAGACAGTTATGTAGAGATAGACGTAGAGTAGCGCGCGCTTAACGGAGATTTGCATTGATTAAAATGCCTCCTGGCGTGCGATTCCCTTAGCGACTCGATTTTCGACAGACAGCCCCATGCACTAGGCGCTCGTGCGAGTTCGCGAGCCCCTGTTACTGACGGCTGACCGATCTGCACTTGACGCTTCAGTCAAATCTACTATTCACCTATGCGCAAACCTACCATGGACATCTCGGATTCCGTTCCGAGTTGGATTTCAATGCAATGCCTTTGTTCGCTATTGTTGTCTTTTCGATCCAACTGCTAATGTATCATGCGAGCTCCACTTTTATATAATTCACGATCTAAATAAATCGATAGTTTATTGTTAGTGCGTTTCGAGGTTCATGTTGAATACCTGACATAGCCGTGCAGGGCTGCTGATCCATTATTCAACGGTAAAAAGTGATATCGTTGTTTTGATTAAGTCCGGCATTAAGGTTTTGATTCATAGGGCCATTAATAATGAAACGCATTGCATCATTACGGCGGTGCTACTCTCTCCAAATACGGATATCTATTTTTCTCTGTGGCTTTTTGAAAATAAAACAAGTCGTTGAGAGCCAGAGGTCACGCGGTCGAGCGAGTGAGTAATTGTGTCTATGAAAATGAGTGTCGTACGCGTGCCCGCATAAAAGGAACTTACGTATGCAGATGAGATGGGTCAACAAGAGATGTTGGAAATTTAAAAAATGCAATATGATGCTCGTCGGCATAATGAAATTCTCGGGGAAGGATGAACGAAAAGGTAAAAAGAAAAGGGAAAAACGAAAACGAACTAACTACAGCGTGTCCATGCGGTAAAGTAGATACGCGAGAATATTCGTAGTGAGCGCCCATTCTTATCGTATGCGTGAGCATAAAAAGCTGATTTTCTTGAAATTAAAATTCCAAGAGCAAAGAGCTCCTTGCTTGCAGCTTCACCCTCGAATTTACATAGTATCCTAGACTCCAGAGCGAAGCTAATTAGGGAATAAATCACAGCTCATTGCGAGATGTGGCGAATAAACGATGCCCAGTCACGGAAATACACGCGTGTGAGAATGAGCCATGCTCGACTTTTCAAGCTCTCGGCACAACTCGTGAGCACACTCGATATAATGGAACTACCGTGCGGAAGAGACTTTTCTGTCTACGGGCATGTTGCGTAATAACTTTTCTTCGATAGCGTGAGCAGTGGGAAACAATTGGTCGCTTCATCGCTGACTCGGAGCTAATTGGATGTTCCTCAAAACGAGGCAAAAAAGAAAAAAAAACAGCACTTGAGAGGATACGTCTAAATTAATCAACAGCCCAGACGAGTGCGAGGATTATGCCAGAAACGCAACAATGACGTACACACTGCTCGCAAGCGGAACACCATCGTAATCGGCAATCCGCGGATTTAGATGCAACATGGCAACGTAAATTGCTGAATCGAATGAAGTTTGCAGTAAACTGGTGCCGGCGTGATTGAAAAATTGAGTGGCTACGCGCTACGAAATCCATTTAAGAGAGCGCTGCGATATCAATCAATTGAAGTTATATCCACGGTGACAGATGTCAAGTTGGCGCGACGCGAAGAGCTCGCCTCTCTCACGCACTCTATCCCTCTATCGTATGTACGAAGTGGAGTGGAGATAGAGAGAGAGGGGGAGAGAGAGAGAGAGAGAGAGAGAGAGAGAGAGAGTGAGTGAGAGAGGGAGGGAGGGAGGGAAGGAAAGAATATCGATCAAAAATCAATGGAATCGTCACACGTTGTTCTCGATAAACAATAACACGCCCTCATCAACATCGACGCTCAACGTCCTCGGCAAACGTACTCGAGAATGATTTCGCTCGGACGTTTATGGCGCAATGAACTGACGTTCGATCATAGCTCGAGGGGGTTGGATGGATTGGCAGGTCCAACCTCCACTAAATCGACTTAACGAGCGGTTTACTGACTCGCTCTCACGCTCTCGATTATGCACTAGCCTCGTCATTATCATCGTTCAAAACCATCCAAGCCCTCTCCCGAAAGAGAATCGAGAGGGTGGATTGAAAGCTTTCGTGAATTTCGTAATTTTCGCTTAAGCGCGTAATCGCTTTTAAAGGGCTATGTACGTAGGTGATGATGATGAGCCGCGGTATATGGTGCCGCCACAATGAGATATGCGTGTGTGCTCGTACTTTCTATAAAGGTGAGTCGTCTACAGAGTTAGCCGCGAAAAAGGCCACGAAGAGAAAATTAGCGGCGCGCCAGCGAACGCTGCGAAGCGCGAGCGTGTGTGCGTGGCACGCAGAGATACGGTTTACGAGGCCGATTGGTATCTCTTGATGAGCACGGAAGAGGGCCAAGAAGAGTGGCGCGCGCGCTCGCTCGCTTGCTCTTATTTCTGCTCTTTTACCTTACGTCAGTTGCACAATCTTCCATAACTCGCCCCTCCCAATCGTGCGAATCTAACCGACTTAATTCCCGGCCTGCAAATCGCGCTCTTCTGCATTTAGATTGGCTCCAGGTTCGCGCTTGCCAACTCACCGATTTCACGTTTAATTTATTTATTAATTCGTTCATTCAGAAAAGCCGTTTTTGAAATAGCGCGCTTTCATCTTGGGTTTCTCTTCTTCCACGTTTTCTTTGAAATTCCATTCAAATATCTAAAAAATGAAGATGCAAAAGAAACATTAGCAATTGATTGTCTTTTTAATGATACATTCTCTGGCAGGATTCAAATTTAGCTGGGTGATAAACTCATCACCAGTACTCGAAACGTTAGAGAGTGAGCGAAGGTCAAAACGAAACGTTATCAAATCAAATCGAAATCGCTCCTTTGCAAAAGGTTCGTCGAAGCGTGAGGCGATGGCGGCAGTGTCGACTGCACAATCGAACAGCGGATATTGAAAAGCGGGCGAGCGTCCACTTGGGCCGAGTGAGTGAACGCTCCCGTATACCAGAGAAATGAAGGACCAGCAGCATATATATACGCAATGGATGGACGCTTTTTAGACGAATTTAACTTGTGGCGCGCGATACAAGGGTGTTTATCAGCTATTGTACTATGTTCAACAAGAGAACTAATCAAAAAAACAGTTCATTTTCTTTCTTTTTCGTCTCTACTGTAACTGCCTGTCTCGATGGGCGAGCTCGTCACAAGAGAAGAGTTGAGCTGTGAGTAGCTATTCGCTCGTGAAATGGTCCGTTGCACTTAATTGATATTGCACTGTTTTCTTTTTTGGACGGCCCGGGTTTATTAGATTTTTCGGCACCACATGGTACCGTACCATTTTTCGCAAAAATACCAATGGCAACTTGCGAGCAAAAAAGTTGAACGCGAGACAGTGAAGCTTGCGTACGAGAATATATACTAATTCAAACCTGCGAAGCACAGCAAAGAGAAAAAAACAAGAACGAAGCCTACAGGGCAGACAGCACAAACGGCACCTCTTGAAAATCCACTGGTCGCACACGCGATCGTATTTAGGTAGGTAGTTAAAAAAAAGCCGAGTTCGAGCCGTGGCAAAGCAAATGGTCGTATCTTGAGAGCACTGTTACCTTGCGCACCGCGAAATCCATAGAGTTGCTCGATGAACTTTTGGAGTTCAAGCGACTGGCCAGGGCGAGACGTTTAAAGTGCGGAGGTGCCTGGGGCGCCGGTAGGTTTATATATGCCACGAGTGCGCTCACTTCCTGTCGGCAGCGCCGCGCAAATACAGACAAAAGTAGTGGAGGAAGACCGGCGTGACTGAGAGAGCTCGCGAGCTCGAGCGCGAGAGAAAGAGCAATATCTCCCGAGGACGAGTCGCGGCTACCATCTTCTCTTTCTCTGTGAATATATGAGGCTTTCATCACCTTTTCTAGATTATCGTGTCGCCTACGTCGTCCTTTCTCGCTCGTAGCTGTTAACCTCTGAATAGCGCCGCGAGCCGCCTGTCATTAGGATTATGTATTAACCTGCAGCTTTCGTGTCTTTCTCGCTGAGTGCTTACTCGGCTTTTTTCTTTCATTTTCTTTTTGGTGCTGCAGCATTCCGCGCGCTAACTCAAACAATTACTGGCAATTGCATCCAACATATTCTGCCGTATATAATCACTTGGAATTTCTTCTTGTCGAACAACTCGCTGTGCGGGTGGTCACGTTCGGATGTTACGAGGTGATCGATCGAGCTTTCGAATAAATTACTCGTCAAGTGGAGATGAGAAAATTCACGCACTCAGCTTGTGCGCACACGCTTAATTGGTCGGCTTTCGATTTTCAAGACTTCACTTTTCCTGTCTTTCATTGGTAGTGACAAGACAACGCCTCGACTTTGAGGAAGTTTTGCTGTATTTTATGTGCGAACTTGGCTGCGAACTAATTACCCAACTAATCTGAAATTCTGCAAGCGGTAAAAGGCGCAAAAAATGAAAGTAGCGGACACAGTAACAATTGTTACCTCCAAAAAATTCGGTCTAATAAATTGCCTCATGCGGGTAAAAGTAGACCAGTTCGAGAGTAGCGTATAGATACCCGAAAAATAGCATGGAAAGTCTAATATAAATGGTAGATTGGAGAATTCTCATGAATAATTCAATGCGCGTGCGATGCGCTCTCAAATGTTCCATACTGAATAACCAATCCAGAAAAATGAGTTGTAAAAAAAGAGTCAAACGTAGAGAGAGAGAGAGAGAGAGAGAGAGAGAGAGAGAGAGAGAGAGAGAGAGAGAGAGAGAGAGAGAGATTGGCAACTGAAACGCATATATGTATAGTATTTATAAGCGTAAACTTTTTCAAATCGCTACCGAAATCATCACGTGGCAGAGTACACTTTCCTGGTGCAACCGAATTAGCGGAATGGATATAACGAAATGATTTAGTGATACATCATCAATCAGTGGCTGTTTGTGCGTTGTGCAGCAGCTCTATTCAAAAAGAGTCAGTAGGCGAAACGAAAAAGAAAGAGAGAAAGAGAGAAAATGTAACCTCAGCGCGGAGCCGTCATAAAGATGTCAAAATCAGCTCGAAAACTCGGCGATCCATCCACTCGCGGAGGGGGAGAGTGTACCGCATGTGCGCGCATATCCATCAGAATCGGACCGCAAAATTCGCGCTCTATGCCGCTGCCGCCGCTCGCGTGGCGCAACTGTAGATATGCGCGAGTTCACGCGGGAGTCGGACCTACCCGGCTTGCTTGCTGCATGTTGCGGAGAAAGTAAAACGATGCGCGCACGCTCTCGTCTACATGAGAGTTACTCCATCTCGTGGGATAATCCATATAGCCTCCCCTCCGCCCCTTTTACCTCTCGTCGAGAGACGCTTCTGCTTGGCTAATTAGGTAATTGAGCCTGTGCGCTCCGACTTATGTGCGAGACCGACGTATCGCAAAACTAACGTGTGGATACTCGGCATTCTCTATCTCTGACGCTGGCGCGTGCACTCGCGGCAAAAATAATGCGCGTATGAAATTTCCTACTCAAATGAAAATTTACGCCGTAAGGGTTCGTCATTTTGGTTCGCATCGTACATGTGTATGGTGGAAGCTGATCGATGCTGGGATAATTACGTGCAGGTTGATATTCTTTGCCGAGAGAAATTTTTTACCTGTTAATTTTATATGAATTTCGGAGCCAACTGCAGACCTAATTGCCCTGTTGAGAGATAACGATCATGTAAACTTTAGCGTGAAATGGATATTACGAATAATTACAGAAACCTCATTCCGACACATCGCGTTCGTTGTATGTATATTCTCGAGAAAAAAAAACAATCGTCCGATGGCATATCTAGGTATTGAAACATTTCAATTTCATACAGCTTTAATTATTCTACTTTTCAAGAAAAGGGATATGAAAATCGTGTGAATTGTGCAATTCTCTGCTAAAATACAATAGAGAGTTACGCGGTTCTCATGAATAATAAGTATTTAATTTTTACCTAAGCGATCTTAAAATAGAAATTTTTAAATTAAGAAGAATAGCCTAGTGAGTGTCAAAACCTCTTTTATGAAAAAGAACTGTTCGCTTTATGCTCGTCAACAACTCGTAGTACATGTAATAATAAAAATGCCCGCAGAACGATTGAATTTAAAAAGAAAAAAAATCGTCACAATTGCATAATACTGCAATCTCGAAGATTGCATAAATGTATGGACGAACAAAATGCAAAGATACAATAATAAATTGGCACGTCATGTATTTGTATTGAGATGTGCGGCGAAGAGCAACAAAGGACGTTACGTCGTATCTCGTTCTTCTGGTCTCAATCGCCGGCTCATTTGAATTCATGTAAGCGATTTACTATTAGCGCAATTCATCATATTCCACGTGCACATTGCAGATCAAGTTTGAACGCAATACAATCCGAAAGACGCTTATATTAGTCTGTAATTAAGGTCATTCAACGTCCAAACGCTTCGCTAATCCCGCAGGCACTCTCTCTTCGTAATTCGGGACCATTAATCAGAGAAGAGTCCTGAATCATCCGCAAGCGGCAATCGAATCGCGTGCGCAGGAGTAACAATTAGGCAACAGAGCACGCAAGCAAGGTCGTTATGCATGCCGATTTTCCAACATCCTCATAATAGTCTGTAATCTACGTGAAAAAGCAAAATTATCTGTACAGCATCTTTTCTCTCGCGTGTTACTTGGCTTTTTAATTGATATCGGTAAGAGTCAAGTGAGACGCAACCTCCGGCTCTCAGATACAGTTTCATTTTGTCTGTATAATTATTATTCGATATTATTTATATGTCTTGTTTTTTTTTGTGTTTGAAATAACCTTATATTTCGTGTTCCACGTGCAATAGTCTATAATCGATTGTATTTATATTTAGGCAATTTAAAGTGATGCGCTCCGATCGAAGAATATTTTTGTGATTGTTTGGACTTTGTAATTAGAATATTTTAGAGATACAGGATATCGAGAACTGATTTTAAGGTTTGATCGCAATAGAATTCTGAGATTTCCGAAGAATCCACGAATAAGTATACTACATTGCTTTTGTTATATACAAGGTTATTAGATCAAGGGAGGGTTTTGTGTAGTCATCGTGAGTCTTTAATAATATTTGGCTGTTGTCAAGTCAAAATACATCAAATGAAATGTCATATTGACTAATGGGAAGGTTCATTTTCTAATTTTATAAATGGGGTAGATTAGTAGTGAATATGATTCGTATTGATTGTATGTCATCAGAAATTACATGTCAACTATTGTTTGGAGAAAGTGTCGAAAAATAAATATATACATTAACATAAATGAGAAGAATTGGCGAAAGGAACCAAAAATAAAGTAATTCAAGCTGCATAATTGCGTACCTCGTACCTCACATGATCACATCACACTTACCTCGAACGTAAGTAGGTACACTGGTTGGTTTGGTGGCTCACACGTACGGTGTTCTCGTGGGCGAGATCTGTCGTAACAAACGCGGCGAGGAGGTTGCCATGTAATCCCCTTAGAAGTAAAAGACTCCCTGGTGCTTCTTCTTCATCGCGTCTTCTTCGGCGCTGCTCGTCTCTCTCTCTCTCTCTCTCTCTCTCTCTCTCTCTCTCTCTCTTCCTTGCGGTGCGGTTCATTTTTACGAAATACATGTGCGAGCCTCTTGAGTAACAGCCGTAATTATCAAGCAAATAGAGTCAAATTTAAATGAGATCGTATCTTTTTGTCTAACCACACGCGCAGCTTAAACTCGAGCAAGTACTCGTATGCGTGTGCGCTCTGTAGTAAGAAACTCGCGCTCGTCTTAATTGGACAAAAGGCTTTCACTTTTTTTTTTCGGCGCGGCGAGGCTTCCGCACGCGCGCGCAAGTGAGTTGGCGGACATCAAACTGTCTGTTGGTGTTGCGCGCGCTGATTTCGTCCGACAGATAACAGGGGATACGCGTTGTTGTTTTCGACCGTAATTACCATTGGCTCTCTGTGCATGCGGATGACGAGGTTCTTTTTTCTTTTTTCATTGTCTTTCTCACTGGCGAATTAACGAAAAATACGCCACCGGTATGGTTTGTTGCTTCGCTAACAAGTGCGATTTTGCGCTGCTATTCGTCTCTAATACGAACGCTGTTGAAATACATCGCAATCCTTTCGTTACAATAATTTGCTGTGCAGTTTGCTTTAACGTTTTGTTTCTGCTTTGCGATGAAAATAACTTTTTCACGAGTATATGTCAAGCCATATGTGGAAAATGAAAAAAATATATTCGATAAAGAATCGTATTAATAACTATTGGAAAGCGTGAATCAATATCTATTCATTTTTATCGTTTAATAATCTATGCGTTTTATTCTAACATTACATCAATTATTCCAATTTAGCTTTCGCGTCTTTGACATAACACGTGCGGGGTTGAGTTTTCATGTGAATTGAAATAAACGGAGTACTTTGAAAAATATTTATTCGTAAAAAAAAAAACAAAAGTTATCAGTATCGCTCTTAAAATTATATATTTACTATGTACAAGAATAACAAAATAACCAATAAAATAATCAACTGTGAATGAAGCGTATATAAGTCGAGAGTAAAAAAGCGGTATAGAAATCTCCAAAATATTTTTTCTGTTCATAAGAGCCGTTCTGGGATCGAATCGTCAGCGTGTAAAAGAGAAAGAGAGAAGCAGCTGGCACAGTGGCAAAGGGACGAGTTAAATCCCAGCAAAACTGGCCTGGAGAGTTGGGCGTCAATTAAAACTTTGCCAGGTGGCGCGCGTTCCGACAGTTTACAAATCGCGGAAGTTTTGCCTTCGGAGCTTAAGCTCTCTCTCTCTCTCTCTCTCTCTCTCGTGCGCGCGCGACGCGTCTACTTAACTAACAATAATTAACTTGAACGCTATATGGGCGCGCGAGAGCGCTCGAGCTTTAATTAATCTTTGCGATGGACGCTGTAGTAAGCTCGGGTGCGCTACACCATAGATAACGTCAATTACTGGATAGCCCAAGCGCTTAATGTCGATGCCGATTAAATTGTCCCGTCAGAGGAAAAGCTTCTACACAGCGTATAGTGCATGCTTGAAAACTAGAGCGCTCAAAGCGACTTCGTGACCGAGATAGCATCCCAGGATCTTCTCACGCTGTGTATATCGCTGTGATTATGAAAGCTGCCATTAAGAAACTGGCGCGATCGCGCCTTTATTATGATATCACCGCGGACGCGGACGTACGTTGCGCACCAACAAGACCCACTACGATGAGATTGCACTTTGTGGTATATTTGGACTGCGCGTCGATTTTGACGATCCAGCGCTATTGAGACGTTTGCTCGAGGCTGCTATTCCCAAAGCTTCCGTGGTGAGATTCGAGTAGAGTGATAATATAATATTTTCAGTGAAGTTCTTATCAAACAACATTTCTGTAGAAGGGACCAAATTGAGAAATTGTTTTCTTGATTGAATCCGAGAGTGAGAAAAAAATATCGAAGATTACCTCTGGGATTTAGTAGCTGTGTGATTGATTTAGCTAGAGTCGAACGAAAGAAAGGAAAAGAAAAGAAAAACTAAAAGAGTGGATCGGCCGAGCGCAAATCATAAATATCAATTGAATAGGCGTAAGTATAAGGGAGAGAGAGAGAGGCTACCGAAGCATTATCGACTAAGCAAATCTCCATCATTACTCCTGGTTGGATCTGTCAAGCCGTTTCTTCCGATCGATTGGTTCTGAGAGCGACTCTAATCCAACGGAGGGCGCTATATATACCTACACGTTGCCACTAGCTGCGTCACGCGGATAATTCCAAAACGTGCGCGTGCGCGTCCTCGCTACACGTACAAAATTAATTTCCATCATCTCAGTTACACGCCTTAGCTTATTATTATTCCCGAGCGAATTTTCATTTGATCCAGCATCATCGCGACTTTGTGTAGAATTCAATTAAAATCAACCGAGACGACGGGAGCTGCGAGACAATTTCAACGGGCGCGCTGACGAGGATCGAGAAATTTTCGCTACTCGGAGACATTATAGTCGGGCGCGAGCTCGAGCACGAGTGCATAGGTACGCGCGTGATGCTTGCGTCATTGGCATCATTGTCCGGGCAGATAGGAGACTTGGGCATGATAACCGCGATGGTCGGCCGAGTACTCGACTCGTTGGACGCGGCCATCGGGTAGGCGTACATGATAGCGGCCATTCGTCACTCCACCCTCTGGACGATGGCTCTCCTCGTGGCCGTAGTCGCTGCCTGCCGCTTGATCGATCACTCTGTAGCCGAACTCGTACTTGCTGTCATCCAATTCCGATGATTCTCTGCTTGACGCCGTCGCCCCTTCCGATACCCCAACCTGCACGCATTGTTGTTAATTAGTCAACGCGCCGCTCTTACGGCTTGTTTGTGTTCTTTTTGTCATCGTGGTCGTCGTTGCTACTGTTTACGCTGCTGCATGTATTATCAAATGATGATTATTGCGGATTTGGATAATAGCTTAGCGCTTGGATCTGCGGTTGAAAATTAATTATAGCTTCTGAGAAATGGAAATTTGAAAGCATTTCACACGCGCTTCGCGGATCGTAATACTCAGCAACATCCTGCTTCGGATAAAATCGTCTCAACAACTGCATAATTAATCGTTTTTTAAAACATTTCGGAAAAGGCTTGTAGGACTTTTTAAATTCAACTCAATGTACTGTACGTTATATCCAATAATTTCGCAAATACTGGATTATTTTAATCTATAACTCGAGCAATAAAAATTCGAAAAAAAAATCCTTCATAAAAGTAAATAATCAAATACGAAATGAATTTTGAGACAAGTAGCCGTACTTGTCTACTGTATATTGAACGTATTCGTAGAAATAGCATTCCTCGAAAAACAGTGACGGAATTATTAAGTTTTTTCTTGCATTCGCAAATCCAAAACTTTTATATTGACCATTCAAAAGTTTGTCGGATGCACTATTTCCGTTAGCTATTTACAAGAGCAAACTTTTTCATAAAAAAGAAAAAGTTGCGTAGATAGCACATTTTTTTATTAACTGTAAAGATTCGATTTTCTGACAAATAGTTAAAATACTTTATGTCCATAGTGAAGAAGGAAAAAAAATAGATGATATTTTAAATAATTTAATCATGGATTAGACTCTTACCAGAGAGAAATCTCTGCTGTCATCTGGTTGAGCTTCGTTGACATCCCAATCTGCTGGAAGCTCGTCGTCCAAGTTTTTGGACTTGTGAGGTGCGGAAGGATTGTCGTCGGACACCGAGTTCTCTTTGAAGCTCGTTGACAAGTTACCATCCTCCTCATTGATAATCCGGTGGTAAAGCGCGTAACCTCGGCTAGACTCGTCTCGCAAATCGTCCGCGATCATCGCCACCAGCTGTTGTGATATCACTGGAATGTTCTCATTTGTTTGTGGCTTTTCCGTCTGCCTCGCTATATGACAAATACATCATGGTATTCGTTATCACATTTGGTCTACGGTATTATCCTATTTTCACTGTTTGCATCATCGGTGAATTTAGCATGCAAGATTTCGGTTGTTAAAATAATTATAAAAAAATGTTCTTAGAGAATCCAGACCTTCGATTTTAGAATCCTGTGCAGCATTATTTACGAATTTAAAGCTGCTTGGGCGCATCAAAGTTCTATCCTTGATAGGGAAACTATTGAATCCAAAGACTCGAATTCGCTCACGCTGTTCGGGTCGAGCAAATGGTTCCGGCAATCTTGTGTTCACGTAGACGATCTTGGGTGCTTGGAATGTGTCACGTCCATAGTACAAGCCGTCTTCATCTCTCGAATCCAGATCATTTATTTGGCCAGGGAGAATTCGCTTCTTGTAGAGCGTGCTCGCATCTCTAAATCAAAATTCAACATTTATTACTGTATTTCATGAAATTGACGATTTGGATAAGGTGATAACTCCTTGAATATATTTTGCAAAGTCAAATTGTTTATCTCCATATTGAAAACTTTCTGTAGGAAATTGAAATAAAATTACATTATTCAAAAAATATATGAAAACACTTATGAAGAGTTTATTAGGTTATTTGGTTTTCAAGTTCTATATAATTTAGTGTGATGAACCTTCTTAAAAAAAGTATGGAATTGTTTCTTGTTTTTCGTGGGACCATTTTTCTTTCCATTCGAATAGAAACTTGTCTAAAAATGATTAGCTACCTGCCATCAGGGCAAGTTGTTTGAAGAAAGGAAGAGAGTAAAAGGAGAAACGCTAGGGTAACGTGAGCAAACAGCAGCTTGCTGCACTTACCCGACGATCGTCCTGGGATTCCTGGAGTGGCGTTTGTATTGCAGGTCACGCCTCGTGGCCGGAGTGTTGGTCGACTGCTGGTGCGGGACGAAACCCGCGGCCGCTGGCCTTGCAATTAGCGCCGATTTCTCAATCTCCCAGGACATTGCTTCGTTAACGACCAGCGCCAGGGCCACCAGTATTAAAACAGCCTGCAAGGGCGAACATTATAAGGCATCGTTGTTATTTTTTAATTAGTTTTGTCAGCCGATTGATCGATCGGCGGCGGCGGCGAAAGCTCGGCTGCTTGATTACAATAATGATGCCGGAATTTCAAGAGGCTGGCTGTTTCGTGAATTAAGTGCACGTCACCTGTTTTCTCAAAGTTTCCCCTGCAAATTCCAGATAGTTTGCTGGACAAATTGCGAAATATAACGCCTCAGCCTAACTCATTAGTTCAGAGTCAAGTTTGCTGCTATCTCGAGTATGTTTTAATTGAACGCCATTTTTCTAGGTTGCACTATTTTTGAAAGTATAAACTTAATTTTTATAAAACTTTGATATTTTTCCGTTATTTTTCCGTTATTTTTTGTTTGAAATAGAATAGTTAAACGTCAACTACGTTTGAACCAAGCTCAAATCTTCGAAAGGAATGAAGAAAACAATGGTATTAATTCTTACATAATGCATTTCTAAAGTTTGCATGATTTTTTTGAGATTTTGATTGATTTTGAAATATCGAGGAATTTTCACCACTGAATATTCAAATCAAAATTTTTTTCGTGAATATAATCAATTCGAAAAATGAAAAAAAATAATACGTCCAATTTTACTCGAGTCGTTCGGGATAACAAGCGACTGGAAATAAGGGCGGCGACAGTAATTGGTCAAAAATCACTGTCAGCCTTGGTAATAAAAAATACATCTGACCTCGTTAACTTTGCTGCTGATTCAGCGAGAAATACGGACACTCGTTAGTCGTTCGCTCGTGTCTATGTAATAAGCTCAATCGGCAAATACCACGACACTGTCGCGAGGTCAAGGTAAATTAAAGGATAACCCTTGACATTTTTGACTGATATCGTTCAGGAATGAAGTGGACATTTTTTTCGTCCTATCTCTCTTTATAGGGCTTTGGTTATGGTCGAACAGGCAAAGCTATACGACCATCGCACAATGTGCGTGCTTGCGATAGACGAATATTCAAACGAGCTATGTACACGTGTGTCATAGTTTAAATGGTGGTTGCTATTTTAATTTATAAGTTAAATATGCGGTACCGTCTCTATTAATATTTGCGTAATGTTGATCGTAGTTGGCCAACATTGGGCATAACGAGTAATTGAATTTCTCTGTGTGTAGAACAAATTTTCTCTTTTTATAAAGTATTACTATTTCAAATGACTTATCTGTAGTCAAAAATAAAGCGTGAAATCACCGGGAAAATATTATTATTATTTGGTACACTTGAGCGGTTTATTGAAGAATAGCCACGGCTATGCCTTTGGTTTTTTTGAACGATATTACGATAACATTTCTGCATACATAACTATAAAGTGAATAAAAATTTGAAGCTTTCATATCCATTGGCGATCACTTTATCGTCGTGCTGAACTTCCAGATAGATCGAATAATTATATAGCTCCTCGAGGATAATTTTTTCATAATGCTATGTACCGCGCGATTGTATTTTTGCATCGCTGACCTATACTCTAGAATCTCATCGATCGAGTTGGTGTTTCACTAGTTGGCAAAACTCGCTGTTTACTTTCAATAGCTGAAACTTTAATGATTATCGATGTAATAACTATTAGGCCGGCGCGCGATTATTTCCACGCAGTAATCTCTTTTTTATTGAAAAATAAAATCATCAATAGTTTAATCCGCAAGGTTATATTGCTATCTGCTTCCGATATAGAGTGTAGAATGTCTGCGTGTTGTATATTTCATTCGTAAACTAATAAGATATACGGTACTCAGATTGAACAAAAGTTCAATATACAACGTATGAATGCACAATATGTGATTTAAAAAACTTTATCAAAGAAATAATTTACTGCTGATTACGAAAAAAAAACATGATCACTGGTGCATGCGCAAAACAGCCACCAATAATAACTCATCATTGCACCAGCGATAACGGCTCTTTCGCAAAATACAGGCAATCGATGAGACGTTAAAAAACAAAATTCCCAATTTGCCGCATCGGCAAATTGCTAGCTCTCTCGCGCTCTCCCTCGGTAAATGACTTTATTCGAAGCTTGCGCGCAAGCAGTAAATCATTGTTTAGCAGATTGTAATCGGAAAACAATACTACTTCATTACCGGTGCATTCGCGTTCCGAGGCTTTGTGCTTTAATGATCTTCTGCTGATCGATCTCTCATCCCTTTCGCTGACTTTAAATCGACGCATCTCGCGTATCAACCGTTCTCTGTATAATCCCTGTCTCTCCCTTAGCTTCACTCTCACCCTCCCTCGCTGTGCACCCGCGTGTGCCAATATTGACGTTGATGATTATTCGATTAATCCGACATTATTCCGCTGGGAATAATGTTTTGGCTACGCTATCGTTTTTGTTTTCGCTTGGTGAATCCAATTGCGAAATTGATTTTTCTTTCAGTTATGCGATTCCTTCGTTTTTGTTAATTTTCTTTATGGCTTTATGCTTGTTCGTCTATCGACGATGTAACGAGATCGATAGTTGACCTTTGCATAATTAAACCAATGATTAATCATAATTATGGCAAACTTTTCAATTGAATAATGTCACTGATGATGTCATGATATTGAAAAATACACACAACGAATAAGTGATATTGAAAATTTTCATCAATAATTTGGAAATCCTTTGTGTATCAGGCCTCAATATCTCAACGAAAGTAATATTTTTTCGATATTTTCAATGCTATTAAAAATGATACTTATCGGCATGCATGAAATTTAATGTGCGTTCAGGCCCGAAAAGTTCGCGTACACTTCTTTTAATAAGCTAAATTGTTCACGTTTGGATAATCCATTCAAATTCTGTACATTATCCTGGTGAGAAAAACGGAGTCCATATTTTTTGTGTAGTTTTTGAATTATCAAACAAACTAGGCGACATAGTAAACGTCTACTGAGCTTTCATTATTCGAGTAGGAAAAGAGTGGAACTTTAATCAAGTTGATGTTGAATCTAAAAAAGTGGCAACTCCTCGAGTGGAGCGAGATTAAACGTGGTAATTGCTAAAGAGATCGGCGAGCCGGAGTTAAATTTATAAATTTACAAAAGTACTGTAGATCGAGTCAGAGAGTGGTAATGGTTCTGACTCTTTCTCTCTTGCTCTCTGCCAACACAGAAGTCACGGAGAAAAGTTAAGTGAAGCAGAATTGAATCTTGACTTAAGAGAGGAGGGAGAGGAATCGAAGCGAACATCCACACAATATCCGGTCTGAGTCGACTGACGGCAGCTTTTAACCCTTCGACTTCGCGGCCTCTGCAATTAGAAACTAAAGTGCCGTGGAAAGAGAAAGAGACAGTGCGCGAGATCTCTGCTACTCTGCAGCCTTACTTGCAGTCACGTCGACCGGTCGGCCTGTTTCACGGTGCTGCTATTGCTAGGTAATTGAAGAAAATTTGCGTTCAATTCCTCGGCAAATTGACGTTTCCTGTTTATCAACGCCTTCCAACTTTCGACACTTCCAACTTGCTTCCACTCTCTCTCTCTCTCTTTCTTTCACGCACGCCGGTACTATATTTTTCCCACTCGACGGTGAAAAATCAAGACTTTACGAAGAAAGCCAAGTGGTATTTGCCAGAACTTGACTCTGGTTAACACGGCGTGATAGGTAAATTAGATACCGCATGTACAATCGACGTTTCTGTCACCATGTTACACATCGCAAAAGATCTATTCACCCATCTATATACTCACGTATTGTCTCATTCTCGTTGAGTGTGGTATTGATCGATGCACCGCACAACAGGACGATGATGCTACTTCGTGCTAATATCGTGAACGACTGACGACTCTGGCGTTTTACAGGATGAGCATCACAACCTAGACTAATGCGCGTGTAAATATGCGCGACGTTTTTTTTTCACTTTCTTCCGGCTTTCGATTCGTCAATTCCGAACAATCGGCAGCACTCAACGACTTTGCGACCTCCTGATGTTGTCACTCACTTTCTCGACACGCGCGCGCGACACGTTCGAGATAGGCGTCTAGCCTAGCGTCTGTCTGTTTTCGTCACATTTCACTTTTTCAGAAAAAAAATTATGGCATAAATTTGCATATATACTGCCGGGTTTTGAGAATTAATAAGCTTTAGTTATTTTTTTTAATTATAGCTAACTTATTAATATGTAATAATTATTTTAATTTTCATAGGTTGTCGGTCATATATCACTAAAAAATTATACCAATTTCAAATAAATGTAATTATTACACTTAGAAATTCGTATCACTTTTCAAAAAATAAAATGAAATCCCTAAGTCATTAAATTATACTTTTTCAATGCATAAATCCAATAAAAACGTAATCGTCCACTAAAAGAATCGTAGTAAAAAATGATGACTATTTGACATAAGAAACTTGTTAAGCTGTTGTAAATAAATAGATAAATAATTTTAAATAAAAGATTGCAGAATAAAATTTATGAAATATTACCAAATCAAAGTTTGAAATCAAACATCATTAAAAATAACTTGAGGAAAAGATGGACCATTAAGTTAGGTTACATAATGCATGCACTCAGAAATAGCACCGAAAAAGCTAAAGTCCCGCTAATCTATTGGTAAGCGTCCAACTGGCGGCGGCGGTACAGTATACCACGTGACCGATTTACGAAAACGACGCAGGCGGGGAAGAAAGGGACGAAAAAGGTATATTGGAAGGAGGAAGCCTAGACTCTGCTACACTCTCTTGCTAAAACAGAAAGAGAGAGAGAGAGAGTGAGAGAGGGAGAGGGAGAAAGAGACTTAAGGTAAGGTTGAGGACCTTAGAGAGGAAACAGACCTTCATTAATATTTATGCGCGTGCGCATGGCGCACTGCTTATTTCATTTGCAATGCTAATGCCACGCGAAAGGAATACGAGTGTGTTCGTAATAATAGCTATACTATGTATGCAGATGTCGCTGGGACTTGTGTCTGATTCATTGTCGGAGGAGGTCAGCTCACCGCTTCATTTGACCCGATGACAACTTCTTCTGCGGGGTGAAGTGGCTTTCTTTGCGGTGCTTCATTGTGCTACGACGCCGCAGCAACCCTCCTTTCTTCTTACCCTCGACTTGAATTGAATGAGAACTGTCACAGTGTCGTCTTCTTGGTCTCCTATTTGCGCTTTCATAACTTGCAAATTCCGTCGCGCCGGACAAATCGCCGGTAAAAGTGCTCGGGATCCTACCAGTTCGCGCTTGGTGTACTGCACCGAATAAGATTATACTTTCAGACGAGGTTGTACTTTGCTTGTCGGAATATTACTGGGCATCGACTGATTGTCCTTCATCAAATGTAAATGTTTGTTATTACTTTGCTTAAGTATACAAAGTGGGTATACGAGAAGTTGGTAACATCATCTACCACATTTGTGCTTAATAGAATGAAGAACGCAATGTATAATTTCGTGAGAAATTACAAATTAATAACAGAGTCTGAAAATTGATCATTTTCTATTCAGTTCCGATAATATTCTTTGCAAAGTTAAAC